CGACACCCTCTTCTGCGGTCAGGGCTGGAAGTCCACGGCACAGGGGACGTGCCTACCAGCAGAGGCACCTGGGCAGCAAGGACCCTCCACCTTCTCACCACGATTCCAGTCCTCCACGCAGGCCAGCAGCCAGCCGAAAGCCGTGTTGCACCCGCAGCTCTGCTGTTGTCCATCTCACTGGCCGGAGAGCTCCACGCTCTGCTCTCAGTGCTGCAGCCCAGTTTCGAGGAGCTGCAGACTGAATTTTTCAAATAAGTTTTCTTGGTGAATGACAAGAGCCCTCAAACAAGGAAACTTTAAGCAAACCAGGCTACCTTTCTATTCTGCTTCAAAAGTAAGCATCTGCAGAACTAGAAAAATACGTAGTAATGAAATAATCACTTTCTGGGAAAGGCTACCAAGAGACAAGATCCGTTACTCACGGTGTTCCTTATGTTTAGGTTCACACTTCCCAATTGATTTTCTCAGGTTAAGCACAAGTCATTTGACTTCATATAGGAATCCTTATGGTGCTCTACAGAGCATGTAGATGGCCACTGAGCATTTCCAGTCCTTATTACTGTCTACATGAGAGCATAAAATAGTAAACTTTTTACAAAAGAGCATGAAAAGTCCAACATCTACACTGTGTCCTAAAATAGGCATACAAACTCTTTGCATTAAGTATGAGCATAGCATCATACAGTATTGGGAACAACTGCTATAAGTTTGCAGCACAAGGTCCTTCAAAGCCAAGGCTTCTCACACATGGATACGTGCAACTGCCTGTTAGGTGGCTGTGCGCAGGAGCTTCCTGTGTTTGGAGTAATAGGAGGAGTTCTCCTGACTGGTGTTACTGATGAGCTGTGCTATAACATCAAGGGAGAGCCAGAACTGAACGAACTGAAGACTCAGAACAGACCAGTAATGCTTTCTGAAGCGCAGAGAACGAAAGATCACTTCCAGGTAGGAAAAAATTAGTCAAGCCTTTAGGCAGTTCCATGCCCAAAGAAAATTTCTTAATTTAGTAAGTAAACCAGTAATAAATTACTAGGAAATAAATGCTGTAATGACTATTTAAATTTGAACCCAGGCTTAAGAGGACAATATAATTGTCTGCAGTCTGTAAGGAAAGGAAAAGCAGCACAATTTCAGAGTACAGTTCATGACCTGTATGTCCGTCTATAGACAGTCTAGAAAATTAGAATCCCAAATTGAGCATCTCAGGTTCAAAGTTGTCTGGAATAAGATTGAGCTTGTAAAATTTTGATTACACAGCATATCATAATTGCAGCTACTTCTGGAATAAGCGATGGTAAGTATCTTAAACTTTCTAGGGCTGAGTTGAAGAAGGTTCTTCAGTTAAAACCAGAAGAACTTCCTGTCTGGAAAAATATAACCCCTAATTAGAGATCAGATTGAGTTTAAAGACCTCTTGGGAAAAGGACCTGTGATACCAAGTTTTACATTTCACCTGAAGAGTGAGACTTTCAGCACTGGATGTTCCCAAGCACATTATTTAAGGATTTCAACCTCCACTTAACAAGTGAATAACTTCACTCAGTTACCATCCCCTAAATCCACTGGAACCTGCATAAGTGGTTGCTTCCACAACTCTTGCTATCTATTTGACCCACAAGAGTAAAGCAATCCTTGCAATGAAGTCTGCTTTGAGAAGTTTTGAAACTGTCTGAAAAATTTGAGTTTTGCCTCCTGCTGGACTTTAGAGTCCAGATTCTCTGGACAACTTTTCAAATTCTAGCTGGAATATTCAGACGTTAATTCCAAATTTATCTGTCTTCAGTTCTATAAATGATTTTGTACCTTAAAGATACACAGGTATACCTGAACTGCTTGTTTATCTTGAACTGTCAATAGTGTCTCAGGCTATGTAACTTTTTAAAGCTCAACTTCTTAAAAGCTCAAGATTGATACTTCTTGTATAATACAATGAATTGTGCAAAATTCTTGACTGCATAATAATGGTTGTCTTTGTAAAACACAAGAAAACAATCACTTATAACCAGCAGCTTTGTTGCGCTGAATCTTAATCCACCCTGTCATTCCCAGGTGGTTTCATCATATTTTCTATATGTATTACCCCTGCCATGCAGGTCTGTTTGTACAAGTGTATTTTGATGCCATGGTACAAGGTTGTCTAAAACCAGATACCTTCACTAATCACATCAGTGAGTCCAGAGTAGCCTCTGGGATCTGAAATCAAGCAACACACTCCAAAAGCAGGATTCACAATATCTACCTTTGGTGATCTTTGAAGCTGCTGTGTCTAAGTCTGACCTTTTCAGATATTCCTCACATTGTCTGTCTGAAAATCAACTATAGTTGATTAGTAGAGTAGTACGCTGCTTGGGACTAACATAGTATGAGGTTTCTCTCTGATCTTCTTGTCTTCCTATGGTACTATCTTGCTTACTGGAAAGGACAACAGGAAGCACAAGGAGTGGATATTGAGGAAGCTTGGAAGTGCCAGTTTTGTGACTACTTGGAGATATGACTGGAGGACAATGGCAGAGAAGCCTCTCCAGAGAAGTGGACCAAAGAAAACGAAGTGAAAGTCATCTCAGCTTTTTACAAGGTTACTGAGATTTCCAGCTTGTGACCCTTCTGTTTTGCAGGTTAACAATGTTCCAAATAAAGCACTCGGAGCCGAGTCAATCAGTCCATAGCTCCACAGAGTACCAATTGATTTGGTATGGCATTTTTAATGCAGCATTTTTAAAGTCTCACATTGTAATTTGGCACACGGGCATAACCGAAGCACAGGCTGGGGAGCAGGATTTCCCAACTCACACCCTGAATTCGTGCAAGTTGCTTCATATCTTTTTCTCCAGGAAAAATAAGTAACTTATAGTGTAGTCGTAAGATAGATACTAATGCTTATAAGCTGATTTGAACAAAAGAAATAAGTGAGTCATAGCCATTCACTGCAAGGCCTTGTAGAAAACATTCTCAGCTGTAACCCCAACAATAATATGCCTGACCTTGTCTTTGGGTCCCTTGAGGCAACCAGTTTTATTTGCTGTACTGTATCTGCTCTTGTCTGTTGAAGAGAAGATGGGTACAGCTACCTCAAATCCATCAGCAGTGACCAGAAAACAATGACATGTCAGAGCTTCTGGACTCCCCCCCAGCCATCCAAGTTCAGCTGTGAGAAGGCAGCTGGCTTCAATACTCTTATTTTAAGTTCCAGTGAATACACACAAGCTATTGAGGCACCTCTCTGAAAGCGAGCGCTGCTTATACTCTCAAGCAGTGCCGTGACACGGATCACCTGTACTAGCTGGATCCAAAAGATATTTTTACCTTTTACAGTTAAAGACAAAACCTTACCTGCTGAAGAACTACTTGCTGTCTTGGATTAATTATGCAATAGAATATTTAATGTCTTGTTTACTAGACAAATATATCAAGTTTCTTCTGATCAATAACAGTTAAATTACAGAAAATAGAAGTTGTTAGTACTGTAGACACTACTGCCACTGAAAATAGAGGGAAGAAAACCCAGAAATTTTCCCTTTTTGACTAAGCCATTTATGAGTGCTTCCAGTGTACAGAAAGTAGATTCCTAGGAAAGCTCGTTAATAGTGCAAGGGTCTTTACTGGCTCCCCAGATTCAGAGCTTGTTTTCAGTATGTGGAGAATGGTTTGAATGGAGTACTTATTCCTGATCCTTGCAGTCCTCAGTGTAAAGAATGCCCCGAGGGGCTTATCTCATTCCTAAACATAGTTTTACATCTTTTCCAGACGACTTAAAGACATCAGATGTCAGTAGGCCAAACATTTTCTGGGCTTGCTTTATAAGTACTTTAGAGGGACTTTTTTTTAAACAGTCAGTAGTTGCAAAATCCTTCTGCACGCAGGCAAACAATGACAGTTCACTTGATTAACGTTCAGTTTGCTAGTTGAGACATGCTGTAAAAGAAAACTGCTTTTTTAGCAGCAGAGGTGCATAGGAGATGGCACTGGTAGCAGAATTAGTGCAGCACAAAAATCAGAAGGCCTTATGAAATGGAGCAACGTATCTGTATCATGCAGCTGCTATCTTTTTATACCTTGTACTGGGCAGGATTTTAAACTGATGTGAAACAGTTAATGCTAATAAAAGCTTAACTGCCCTCTCCTTGTGCCTTGCAAGTCCCTCCCCCAGAGAGGCGGCGGTTGCAGCAGCCTGGGAGGAAGCGAAAGCGAAAATGAGACCGAAGCACAGAGCAGGAAGAGACTGTGCAGGGGGCACTTGGCCACCTCCGGCAACTCCACCATGAGCTACAGAACATATTTAGTAGCTGGCTGTTTTCTGTGCATTGGTATGTACCACTACCTTGCTTTGGCGAAGGGGAACGCATTGCTGTGCCAGGCGTTCCTGGGTTTCTGGTTCACTGCTAGAGCAAGCTGCGATCTTTCTCAACAAGACTGTAAAAACAGTTTCTTCTGAACCAAATATCAGCTAGAATGTTTCCGGAGCGACTGATCAACTGATTTGTCGCGTATTTCTTGCACTTGTTCACCTGAAGTGTTTTCATTTGGGGGTGGTAAATAATCAAGACCTTGTAAAAATGTTTCAACTGGGCCTCAAAACTGAATGAAAAATCTTGACCTTTTCAGAACTGAAATGAACCCAAAAGCCTTTTCAGGAAAGGAATTCAGTTTTGCTGCCATTTGGCATGCATTACACAATAGAACTGACTCAGTTTCAGAAATTGGATTTGATAAAAGTGAGTCCAGCCTCTGCTTTGTCTAAGAAATTTAAAATAGAGCATGTTACTCCAAAAATGCAGTGTTTACACACTTTGGAGGGGAGAGTAAAAACATTTGCCTTCAGTGCAGTATCCGCAGCAGAACTAGGGACATAGTTACCTTTTGTCACTCAATTTGCATGTGTAAAATTGGGAATATCTTTTTTGTTTTGCATCAGTCTTGTAGAAGTTAGCTCTCTATTCTCCTACGTCCCCAAGATAATTTAAGAGCCATTCCATGGCAGAACACGTGATGTTTCTCACTATCATTCTCTGGCAGGTTTCCCGTTCCCAAGTGTGTTGCCTGCTTCTATCAGTTCCAAAAAGTATCATTAAGCAAAAATCATTCTAGTTATGTAGAGCTCCTGCTGCTGAGTTGACTATCATGGCAATGTTCACATATTCCTATTCCCTGCTTCCTCAGACGCTCACCATGAAAAAATCTGTACCAATATGGAAACACCTATAAATTAACATTCTTCTTATCTTCCTTGTAGTATTACCCTTCAGGCTGTATTTAGCCTCTCTTAAGCTCTATAGAAAAATACTATCCTTGCATAAAAGGGATTCAACTAATTGACAATACATTTTCTGCAACTAGAAAGTCATTTGAAACTGCAGAGTACTTTTTTGGTGTTCCTTACAGAGGAGAAAAGGTAACTTCTGCACTAGAAGTGTTGCCATATTTCAGAGCCCGTCATATCGCCTGTCTAGGTGAGGGAAGGTATAGCTCCCAGGCCGGCAGAGCAGCCAACTGCCCAACACCAGCACTCAGTGCAAGTGTCAGTAATTCCCGCATAGCCCTTCCTCCCCCATTTGCTTCTTGAGGAAGCTGCAGGGTTTTATCAGCCTCACCTTTAAAGTCTCCTTCCTCTTTGCCACTAGCTTGCGCAGTATGTTATGTGACAGCTGGATTTCCATGTAATAATCCCTGAACTTCAGGGAATGGCAGTTTCAAAGGACACAGTGCTACCTGTCTATAGAAACCTTAAGACAGTACTGAAGCATCTAGAGACCTCCAGCAATGCTTCACTCATTGAGCAATTTTTTCTGCTTTGCTCTTCACATCATTATTCTTCCCTTTCAACTCCTATAATTATGATTTTTCTTTTAAATAACTTGTTCCATTTTAAGAATTCCTAAAAGCTAGGTATTTGAGAATGATGCTAAAAACAAAAAAGAACACTCCGACATAACCAAAATGCTGTGGACTAAATGGATTCCTAACATGCATAGGGTACTGGCTACACAATTTTCTCCCGTTAGTTAAACTTTGTTAAGCTTTTAAGAGCAGCAGTGACATTTTAAAATTTGTGCATGTACGGCCATTGCCTTTCAGGAGTTGCCAGGAACCCAAATGGAATTACTACAGCAGGTTCGAGTTTCAGGAAAAGCAGGGAGCTTTCCTGCGTGTTTGAGACAAGCAAAATCATCCCCCTGTCCAAAGAGATCGAGACTATCAGATTGAACGTCAGGCTTCTGCTGAGTGGAACTGAATCAAAAGAGGATCAAAGATCTCACCCAGAAAATCTACGAGACAACATCCCCTCATTTTTTGTAGACGGTGAGTTATTTGCTCAAGTCAAGTGAGCAAGTTTGGGTCCTGATTGATACGAGGTGTCACAGACACAACAAACATCCTGCAAGACGGGAGTCTTATGCTCAGCATCCTCAGGCTGCTCACCACTGACAGCACTCAACATGCTGGGAAATAGCAGAGGTCCTCCTCCGGTCCTTTTTGCCATGAGCTGGGGGTAGTATCAGTTTCAGTACCCAAAACGAGGTGGTGTTAGTTGCACCCTGCTTAATTGCAGGATTCAGAAGATATATTTGCCTTTTGGAGCATTTTTGCCCTTACATCCACTGTATTTTGGGAACTAAAGGTGCTGAAAACTCAGCATCTCAAAACTCAGTGCCTGGCCAGATTTCAAATTCCTCTGAAGATCTGTCCTTGCACTTGAGAACGTTGCCCTGTGATGCAGTCTGAGTCAAACACAGCTTCCAGATTTGTCCCCTACTAGACACTGAATAAAACAGGAGTCAGACACCACCTCCTTCCAAGCAGAGTCGCTCAGACCCTGTGTCGTTCAGTCAGCTGGATGCTGTACCTTGCGTAAGTCAAACAATAGCATGTCTTAATTCAGAGGAACTTGCTTCCTTTTGGGGAGCTGCTGCGATAAGAGACAGGCTGTACTAAGTACAGAGCAAGACTGAACAGAATCGCATGGAGCTGTGCATAGGCACTAGATGGATTTTGCTGTACGTTAAGATTGACTGGTATTATAACAAGTTCACGTATGTTTTTTCATAGAGTCCTCAGTGGATATTCTCCAGCATGCAAATGAGGATATCAATGCACTCGACTGTAGGATCAGCACATATTTTACAGCTGACACTCAGATCATCTGGCCTGGGAGTGAAGTGAGAGCCAGCAAGTTGGACTCTTGGTTCACCTGCACCATAAAACATGCAGCTGAAAAATACATGACTACAGCCTTTCTTGTGCAAACCCACCAAGAAAGTGAGAACCACAATCAAGGACAGCTTTCTCAAGGAATTGCAGAGCAATCACACCTTTCAGGTAACAGAAAAAGTAATATTCAATAATGAGGTGATAGCGTGTGTTTCCATAGAAACCTCCTCTACAGACTTTATTATATAAATGCAGCTGTCAAGGGCATTGCAACCACAGTCCAAGAAGTTTGGTGAATAACCAGCAGTGTGATATTTCAGTTGTAGCCCATTAAGCTTCAGATGTAAGACTTTCAGAAGGGTTAGGTAGAGGAATAGTCTGCCTTTCCCTCTCCATCTGTGCCAGGATGTTAAGAACTCCAATGGTAGCTTTACATGTTGCAAGTAGTTCCTATGTTTATGAATCTCATTTTATTTTTATAAAACCTCATGAGCTTGCACATAGCTCAAGCTAACTTTCTAACCTACTGTAAGATAACTGCTTTTATTGAAAAGCGCATGTTCTCCCTTATGTTGAAGATTATGCTTACTTTACAGAAACAAATAACTTCAAAGCAGCTTCTCAAAAGCATATTTGTTTTCTATTTATAAGCTTCCATACCATCATTCCTAAAAACCCTAACAGGTACTTAAACCACCAAAGCTTTACTATATCTACATGCATTAAGACTTACTCTAGTTTTTCAGCACAAAGAGTGCTTCCCTAGTGTTTGTATTGAAAATAAGCTCTACAGCATGGGCGACTCTTTTAAGGTTAGAGAGGAGTTTCAGGTGAAGAAACTGAAAGAAGCTGGTTAGCTGACATGCTCAGAAGGACACTGAGTCAGTGTCAAAACAAGAAAATAAGGCTCCCAACTCCTGTCTCCAAACTTAAATATTTCTGAACACCCCACACCCTACTAGGGTCTTTTGTTCCTTGATGGAGAGATATACACCCGCAGTGCTTTAGAAGCAGCAGGAACAGAACTCCGAGGTCAGGCGGACAAGGGCACGAACACACTGCTGCTGTGGCAAGGGCCAGGTGCCCAGGGTGAGGTAGGAGCCCCCTCACTCCCAGAGGGCTGCGAGCCTCCCCTCCTCAGCGATGCCGTCTGTCACCAGGACCGCTGCTGGATTTACAACAGCAGCACTATAGCCGCAAGAGTAGGTAGTCAGCGACAGCATTCAGCACCACGCATTTTCAGAGAGCTGCAAAGCATATCACAGGCACATACAAACTTGCTTTGCCTACATTTCAACCTTTTCATATTCTCCCATTCTCTTGGGCCTACATCAACCCCCTTCCCCCTCACCCAAAAAAGCTGGATTTAAATTATTACTCACCACAATACCAGGCACTTTACTACACCTACAGACCCCTCACTACATCCAGGAAGATAAAACACGGCAGAATCCAAGCTCAGAAGCCACAACATCCGGAGAAGGAGAGCCCTTTCCAGCACTCTCCTCCAGGCAACATGGCCAAATTTGCTGCTATGACCCAGCTGTTTTTTATAGCCTCCTCAGCAGGTTGATTGGGCCATTCACCTGACTTTGATTGGCCACCCTAACTGTCTGGATGCTCTTTAATTCTTCCCACCTGGTGGCTGCCCTGTAGGTTGTATTGGGATCATACATAGTCCTCTATGCACATTCCCCCGTAGCTTTTAGGGTCTCAGTGCTAAAGCAACAGTCAGTGTGGAGGGAAAGAAATGCTGCTTCATTTAATCTTCTACTACAATTAAAATTATGGAGGAATTATTGCATCTATTATTCTATCACATAAAATGAGGCAATAACAAAGATTAATGTGGCAGTGGCCCAAGAACAGAAGAAAAGCACTATAAAAAAGCTTTAGGGAATATTAGACTGTGACCTTCCTTACAGGGCCAGCAGGGTGACAGCCCCTCATCTGAGCTTGTAGTTTCCTATGGCTTTGCACAACATGGGAAGGTTGCAAGCTGTGAGGCAGGGGTTCACAGTAGTGAAATAAGTCAGAGCCAAATTAGCAACTGAAGCTTTTGCTTTGAAGCAGATCCTAATGTTCATGGTCTGTAGTACAGATTCAGGTCACTAGGTGGCAACTTGTACTCATTTGTATTCCTCTGCCTTTGCATAACTGTCCAAAATCTGTCAGTCATGCTATGACTTTTGTCTTACAGCTGTGTTCCTGGTGCACACAAGATCCCCTGTAGTCCGATCAGCCTTGTCTAAGGATGTCTTACTTGATTGTACTTTCTCCATCGATCACCAAGCAGATGTGACGGTCCAATGGATATTATATCAGAAAGGGGGAAACAAGAAACTCATGTTCTCTTACAATGGATCCAGCAAGCAGGTGGAACACATGGCTGACCGAGCTGAGATGTTGCCAGAGGAAATCCCCAAGGGAAATGCTTCTCTGTTACTCAGAAACGTGGGAATGAGAGACGAAGGAACGTATTCTTGCTCAGTGTCAGTGTCTTCTCTTACTGGGGAACAGACAATCCAGCTGCAAATCGAAGGTAATAGGATAGGCTTTGGAGGTTTTTTTATATTTATTATGATGGGGAATGCTTGAACAAATGGCATATACAACTATTCAGTTTTGTTCAGTGATAGGGATAGACTTTATGAATTAAGAGACGTAGCACCATAATAAATTTTCACTCACCAGAAAAACCCACAGTGACCATCAATGTTAACTCCCTGTCCCTGGTGGAAGGAGAGCAGCACAAGCTGATCTGCGACATCAGGAACTATTACCCGCTTGACGTCCAGGCTCAGTGGCTCCGAGAGCGTAAGGGGTCCAGGAAGGTCCCTGATGTGGTGAAGAACGTTCTCTCAAGCAGCCACACACAGAGCAGCAACGGGACCTACAGCTGCTCCCGATACTTCCTGCTCACGGCCTCCCTGAAGGATGACGGACACAGGTACACGTGCCGGGTCGACCATCAGAGCCTGCAGTCCCCCATCAGGAGGAGCGTGATTGTGAAAGTGAGAGGTACAGCATTCACCTGGGGAAATTTGTTGTCCCCTACACACTTTACCCATGGGAGAGCTGGTAGGAGAACTTTCTACTGATCTTTCCCTTTTCTCAGTCTTTCCTCTCCTACTGCTGTTTCCTTCCCCTCCAAAACACACTTTCCAGCTAAATATTCCTGCAACTATTCAGTTTTGTTCATCTGTCTGTCATCTTGATGGAAAACAATTTTGTCTTGATCCAAAATTAAATATATGAGACAAACCACGGTTTTTGACCAAAATGTCCATTCATCAGGGAAGTCAGTTCCCAGCCAGTTCTGCCCCATAATGCTTTTTCATAAATGCTTTTTCAGTGTCTCAGATGCCCTTGGCAAAACATATAGAACTCCCTCAACAAAACACATTTGAAAATTGTTGGGTTTTTTTTTTGTCTTGGGCAACTTAGGAGATAGTCTTTACAGAAGAGGTTGAGTGAAGATATCATTTCAGTCATCAATTATCAATGGAAACCTTGAGCCATGGCATCTGGGGTGAATCAGAATTTGGCTTTTAATTCAGTTGGGTCAGTGAATTCTGATAAAATGTCTTGCAGTGCTACTGTGGTTACAAGATTATTGAGTATCAGCTAGGGTTTGTTCATATTTTATCTCTTTGTATTAGAATTTTACAATGTACTGCTGCAGTATGTCTTGTCCATGAGTACGGATAACAGTTTGTACCATGGGGCCAAACGTCATAGACTTTATTTGTCTCTACCATTTTTTTCTTTTTTGCTTATGGGCAGGAGGTATCTCCATCATCTGGCTGCTTCTCCTCCTCCTTGGCCTCTCTGTGTGCATCACTGTGGTGCTATACTACCTTCATAAAGGTAAAATAAAATCAGGTGTACAAAAAACGAGGCTCAGGCTTTGGGATGGAAAGGACTCTGTGGGTGGTGGTATCTCTGTACTATCCATATGAGATGAGCCTTAGAGCCTCAGGCAGGATAAACTAACAGAGCTGCTCTGAAATCTGTAGAGCTGTCCCCATGTTTGGCAGCTGAGACTCTTCTTCCCCAAGGCCCAGTATAGCTGAACTGTATGATTAGTGCTGGGAAGTGGAACCTGTGGTTGGTCCTCCTTTTATTCACAATCTTTTACTTTTTTTCTTCCCTAGTGAGGAGCACTGCTAAGGTAGGTGTGTTTTGTGTTTCCTCTTTTCTATCTGAAATGCATATGACCTTTATGTGCTTTCCATTTTACCCTTTGCTAATGCATTTCTCTGTTTTACCCTTCAGCCCAAACCTTATTAGCCTACAGGACCTTTAATTCCAGACAGGTAAGGAGCAAAGCTGCCAGGGCAATGTGGCGGTGAGGTTTTCACAAGCACTCGGCAAAGCCTGCTGCTCTCCCATGGCAGCTGAAGGCTGTCTGCTGGCAGGAGCAGAATTACGCCAGCGCAGAGCACTTTACACCTTGTATTGTTAGTGGGATTGCTCTGTTGCAGCAGGCAAAAGGTTGGGATTTTCCACAGCCCTGCATCACTATGAGCAAGTCACCTGTCCTCTCAGGGCCCCTGTGACACCTAAGGAAAAGAATATTTACTTGCGTTTCTAAGCTGTAGTGAACTTTCACTCCAAAACTGGTTCAAAAGTACTTCTGTTTTAAGAAAGAAGAAGAAACTTTCTGTTTCTTATTCCTGAAGAGAAGTAACAGAAATATTTACTTGTCCTGTTGGACTTCAATTTGCTGGTAGAATCAGACGATAATCCTGCATATGTTTTCCAAGCTAGATTTGTATATGGTACTTATGATATACACTAATGTAGGCACCATGCATAAGAGGTGTTTCGTGGCCAAACTTCTATTTGTAAGAGCCCTACAGTATTGCATCAGTGTCCTTTAAAAATCTTAGCTAAGGGAGTCTTCAGAGGTTGAAAGCAACCTGTGTCTAAAGAGCACACAAAAAAAGGCTGTGTGCCAAATCTGGGACGTAGGACGGAAAATAAAAGACCACTGTCTGCCATAGGAACTGCAGAGGCAGTTGCAGTCAGACAAGATAGCCTAGCCTGAACGGGATCATACAGGAGTTTCACAAACCCTCTGCCTGCAAGGATCACGCTTTGAAGTCCCAAATGGCTTCAAAGTTATCAGGACTTCAGCTTGATGCCTCGTCAAAACTACGCAGTCCTGCAAGGCACACTGGAACAAGCGGGAGGAGGGCAGTTGAGGCAGTATTTTTTCTTGCGACTTTGGTTACCATGGCAGTAGGCTTGGGGCTCTCAGTCGCAACAAACATGTAAAGCAGGGAAGAGAAGACAATAAAAATAAGCCTTCATGCAGTATCATGCGGTGTAGGACGAGATGAGGACTTGATCTGCAGCTCTTTATGCCATCCAGTCTTGCTTCAGTCTTTTTCTTCTGAAACCTCTTTCTTTTTGGTAGTTACTGTCCCCTTGCCTGAGCACGTAACACTAATATGATCGCTGAGCATATCCCAGGAGCAATGTCCTATTGTGGTAGCCAGCAAGAGACCTCTTTAGGCTTGTCACTGTACGTTGTCCTTGGCCAAAAATAGTCTAAGAGCAGAAGGAAGGGAATTTTATCCCCACGTGGAAAAAGTCGAAGGTTGCCCTTGTGAGCCCAGGGCCAGAGGTGGAATTGAACCTTCACGCCTGCATTGTGGTGGGCAGCGGGGTGGCGTCTTCCTACTTTACCCAGGAAGAGTTCCTTCTCCACGTTTGTGTAGCCCATCTAGACCCCCTCCTACCCGAAGTCTCTTGGTCTCCCTTTTTTATGCAGACAGGTTTGGCAATTAACTGACGCCTGTGCATTGTCATGCAAATAGCTCAGTTTCCAGCAATTTAAATACTGGCAGGAGGGAACCAAAAAAAATCAGTCAGTCCAAGTAGATCTTTTGCAAAAAGCAAATTGTCACAAAAAAATGTAATTTTCTTTTTTTCAATAACATGCTCAGATTTTTAGGATATTTTCCTATCAAAAAACAAGCCTCATGCCAGCACACTGTGAGGGGGGTGGGGGTGGGGGTGGGGGTATGTTCCTCATAGTTTCTGAGCCGGTTGGCTAGTTCTGATAAGGGGATACAACTTTCAGATATAATGAATTTTCTGCAAGGTCATTTGTTTTAAATAGCTAGCCATGTGGAGGAAGAAGGCCTTAGTGAGGGACAGGACACAGCATGAGCTCAGGTGTTACACAGCAGCCAGCGGACACGGGGTTGGGGGGGGGAAAGGGGAAAACATGTGCAGGACAGGGAGAACCTTTAATAGATAGATTTCCTTCTTAAAGGAAAGGCTTTAATGAGTGCTGTGTTGTCCCAGAAACCAAAATCAATCAACTGCAAAACACAAATTTGTTCATTTTAATTTTTCCCCCTTTTAGTCTGCTCTGCTTGAGGTTAAAAATGGGAAAAATAGGTTTTATGACCAAAGGCGAAAAAAAAGCCATAAAAAGAAATGAGTGTTTATTATGATTCATTGCAACAATCCAGAAAAAAAGTACCAGTGAAAAGCTTGAGACAGGAGCAATATCTCCAGTATATTAAAAACAAACAAAAAATTTTTTTTGCCTGCAAATACCAATTATAGTAAACTCAATCGCTCGCTATGTGTATATACACCAGGATTGATGCTCTTCCTGTTCCCAGCCCTTTATAAAGGACTTGATTTATGTTTCAAATTGGTTTTGCTGTTCTCCTCAGAAAACAGAAACCCAGCACGGAGAGCAGAAAGAAGTGACTTCATCATGGACTGGATTTGCTTTGTTTCAGCCAGAGATGGGATTTGGCAAAACACAAATTCTGATTCAGTGCTGTCTCATAATCTTTTTCTGGACAAGTGGAGAATCTGGATTTGGTAGAATATCCTGCAGATTTCACAACTGCGAACAACAGCCCAACGTTTCAGAGGAGTGCATAGGTGGATTCTGCAAACAGGTTTTAAGTTGGATGAATTGTGTTGGTTAATACAGGTTTTTTAAACGAGGCAGCAGCTGCTTATTGGGTGTTTTGCACGTACTCATTTCTTGTTTCTACACAGTAACACGTTTCAGCAGTATAATCAGAGCTAACAGCGCTTCGTCTACGCTGGTACAGTTAAGGCTTTATACACGTAGACGAACCGGTTAGTGAATCTGGCCTGCGCTCATGGAGTACCCTGCACGTTATGTAGTCGCTTTCGGCAGCGTGCGCTAGCTAGTCCTGGTTTTATTTGGGAGTTTTTTGTGCCTGCGTCACTCTGGGGAAGCTGTGTGACCCTGAGAGCGAGGAAGGCTCCGCCGCCACCGCCCGGCGGGGACAGCCCGGCCCCGCGCTTCGGCGGGTCGCTGTCTTAGCGCCGCCTTCCTTCGTCTTCCTTTTACCTGGTTTTCTCTCCCTTAGAGTGGAAAGGTGCTTTAAAATAGTTAACACGCAGTGAGGATCCTCACGCCTGAGCTCTGCCGTGTTTTACTGCACGCTGCCTGCTTTCCGTGTTGGGGGGAACCTGTCTGCAGTGTATTGCTGTGGATGGACCGAGCCGTCGGGATGGGGGCCACGGGGAGGAAGGAGGGAAGAAACTTGGAGGACTAGTTTACTACTTTTTAAATAGCAGGTGGTGTACAGCCACTGTCTTTTCAAACATGCTAGATGTAAATGCCACGAAATCAGGTGGCGGTAGCCAGGACACGGCAGCTGGTTTGTTACGCGCATCATGTCCAGGCGGCACCCCGCCATCTGCAGCACGGAGACCCCCAGATCCTCTCTGATTTAGGCCCCGAATGGTTTAGTCTAGAAACCTGGACATTTGCCTCTTGCTCCCAACAGCGAAATCGTCCGAGGAGGCGATTTCGAGAGGGCAGAGGCAGGGTCGGACTGCGGTCAGCGGTTTGCTCTGGCAGGAGAGCGGAACTGATGCTTAGAAGTGACAGGAGACTGTTCTGTCATTTCATACCAGCACGAATAAGATGCCTGTAGGTTTCCTCAACTTCTGTCACAGGCAAAGCGAGGAGCTGTAAGAATGATTTTTACAATAAAGATTAAGAGGCACTGAAATTTTCCGGCTGTGTCGTATCCTGAGTTTGCCGTTGCCGGCAGGAGCCGACGGTTCTGCGCAATCAGAGCTGACGCAACT